ATCATCAATAGAGAAACGTTACTAAGCACAAAGCTACAGTTACAAGCATTTATATGGCCCCTAATGCCTGAAACAAATGTTCACTTTCTTGTCCACAAGACTTTCAAAGCAAAGGTAGTAAGGTTGCCCTATAGACATGTCTTTTTAAAAACCCACAGTTCAGTGACATTCTGCCTAATGCTGCCCCTCAACACTTCTCCCCTGTTACATAGGCTGGTCATACCAGGTATATTCATGCTCTGCCTTTGCAGATACGGTCCCATATGCTGTGTGACTTGCATAGGAGAAGTAATTGGAACCACCAGGGATAGTAAAGTATGAGTCAGGCAGGTTTATTGCATGGTTTAATACACTTTCTATATTATGACTTTTTCACATGAGTAATTTTCCAAGATGCTCAAAGAAATGAAAATAGGATGCTATGACGCCAATTGTTTCTACATCAATCGTTACTACCTGTGTTTACGCAAGGTTGGCAAATTTGTATGTAGCTTACCAGTGTTCTAATCACAAACCTGAAACTTTAACAACGCGTTTCTGTAGTAAAGCAGTAAAAGAATCAAATTATAATCTCCCAAGTGAGCATTCAAAACAGGTACAGGTCACATAGCTTCAGATCAGAGTGTCAGTCTGGTGTAGTTTGTGAAAATCCTTAGAGGACACTACTGAAAGCCACAGAAATTTCACAGAAAAGTGAAATATCATGGATTCAATTTTTGTTTGAAATGCATTGTTCACAATGAAACCGCAACTCGCTATCCAATGCTATTGTGTCAAAACCAGAAACAAATCCGATAAGAAAAAAACCTAAGTGACATAAGTCACTGATGCTTCAAGTTGATCAGCAACATGTGAGAGAACACGCCTTCTGTCAGAAGAAAAAAAACAAGCGGCAAATAGAACAAGACTTCACAGAATATTAATCAAGTATAACATTTTAAGTGCACAATAGTCAATCACAAAATACATATAAGAGACAGATGACAGGATCCTTGCTACTATTAGCAATACCACTGTGGCTGCAGAAAGCTCACCATTACAAAAATTTTTACTGTTTGTATACCAGAGGTGAAGAGGACAAAAACAGAGTCAAAGAATGGATTAAGCTCAAATTGATTATGCAGAAAGCACTGCATATCAAGAACAGCTTGCATTCATCAGAAATAACCTCTCATAACTGGGAGGTGGTAACAGTGACTGACCTCATAGCCAGATTAGCTGTACCTATTAAGGTGCTTGGAAGCTAGTAAATTAGGAGATTCAACCTAGAAATATAACCACTGTAAGCAGGAGGCCAGGTTTGGAGGAACATCAGGTGTTGTTCATGATGACAAAAGAAAAACTCATCGTAAGTACAGACAACTTGCTGATGGATAAACTTGCCATAGACAAGCTAGACCGATATATGGAGTTGAAAGCAGTGGAATCAAAAGCAGCAGGTATCTCAAGCAGCTCGAGTACAGCATCCTTGAAGATGAGAAATGATACCAAAGAACAAGATGTGAATGAATGTGGTTTCTCAACCTTCCGAGTCAAGGCTCATATGTATTAGCTTCCATCACATGCTTTCCTCATACAGTACTTAGGAGTAGAAAGAAACTTATCTACCAGAGTAAAGCAGCTAATAATTTCCTTTGGCCAAGCTTCAGTTTATGCAGTTACATGTGGCAGAAGTTATCCAAAGCATATTTTGCCACTGTATACTATAAAGTCATTAGCAGGCAAAATGCAACTCACTTGAATATTAAGCAGATCAGGACTTGCATATTTTAAATGAATACCCAAAAAGAATGACAAAGCCCTTTACTTTCAGATGCCAGGATCAACCTCAGAACAAAATGGGCTTTGGTTTTAACAGATGCACACCCTCATGCATACACTGCTCTAGCTCTGGACGATACTGACAGACCTGGGGAGACAGTGAGCAGAGAAGAAACATTGCATTACATAAATGAAACTCCCTTCCAAGGAGTATAGCCCCAAAAGCTGTAAGTTAATGCTGTAAAGCAGAGAGCAGTATCACAGAATTGCCTTTGCCAGACTACAGTGTTGGGAGAAAAGACCAGATCTGCTGCCTTAAAAATGCAAGAAAAGAATACCACAGCTTCAATGTGTGAAGAAAAAGGAAGGATCTGGTATGGATGCTTGTTCGCTTACATACCAAAATAATCCCAAGCTGGACTGGGTTCAATTTTCTGCTCCACAATGATGTATCAGTGAGCCAAGACCGTATAGGATACCTGCTCACTTTCAACTCCCCTGCAACAAAAATGTCTACTGTCAGTTCATTTAAAAACCACGTTAACTGTTGTGCAAAGCAGAGAGTTGAGCATTAGAAGAGTACTGGCACAGTTATTAAAGCCTTATTCCTTCAGTACAAGATGGATCACTAAACAACAAAAAAGGCAACTTGATGTACAGGAACAATTTAAACAGCATTCCCGCTGAACTTCTCCAGATGGGTCACCTGTATGACAAATGGCAGGATTTTGGCCCAAAGGCAGTCTCACTAACACTACACAGAGCCCATAGAACTTGTCCGGTCATTAGCAATAAAGATGAGTTTTACAACATGTGCAGACAGTCTGATGTATATTAAAAGGCACCAATAAAAGGTTTGAGAGATACAAGAGAAGATCCAACAGAAGCGTTCATTTCAAGAGCATAGTGGTGAGTCATATTGTCCAACAATGAAGAAGTTATTCTGAGGAGCCCTGTAAACAAGTCATATCTCATCAAACTATAGGTCAAAGAACGGAAAGAAAAGATCACAGATCACAGAAACTACAGGGCAGAAGTTCTTTACATTGCCTGCGAGTTTCTCTTTTTCCAAAACTAACAAGAGAACACTATGAATGATCATCTCATGAAAAGATGCGCACGCTTTATCTTGTGTACACTCTGTACTGCAAATAATGGATACAAAAATCTGCCACTACTACACAGATTTGTTCATGCTGTCTTAGGTTCAGCAATGCTCTTGTCCAAAGTTATCAGAAAATTAGAATACAGAACAGGACAAGATTTAAACTAATGAAGTCTATGAAGATAACAATTTAAAAAGCATCATCATAAATTATACCACCTCAAGGAGTCACAATATTTAGTTTTATACCAATGGCGGAGCTCTCAAAAATAATGGCTATCTGCATCTGTCCTACCCTAACAGACCAACGGCTCACAGAAACAAACCCGCACATATCCTTGACTCTTTTTAATTTCTTTGGTGCTCACCCACTTGTTTCTGAATAATATATAACTTGGATATCTAACGTTCTTATGAAATCTCCATAATGTAGTCAAGACAGCAAAATCCTTGGGCATTAGTGACAACAGATTGCCAAAACTGTATCTTTTCCTCTTTCATTCAATGCATTTTAACCTTTTCTTATATAAAATTCAGCATGTATTAATACCCAACATCTAAAGCCAGCTCCAAGTAGAAAAGTTAAGATTGTGTCACAACTTCACACTGTTTTCCTGTGGTTTGTGTTTCACTGAACTCCAAACTATTAAAGGACACAAACCATCCTGGATTAATGAAATGAATGTAGCACCCTCCTAAATCATCCCTCCCACTGTTTTGCCCATTTTCAATGTTCTGTGTTCCAAGATCAGGAATTTCATTGTTAATGGCTTTTTGGAATGGTTTCCCAAATTAATTTTTTTCCCCCCTGTCCTTTCCTGCCAGAACATCATCAATTCTTTTTAATGTCTACTAGTCTTCCCATCAGACCACCAGTTTTATTGAAATATATCTTATCCTACGGAAGCAGTTAGTAGTAGAGGGTTGAAATTTATAGCATATATTTTGCTCTACTCTTCTTCATAGCCAGAGATAGGTATTTCCATGGTTAGATGAGATGAGATACTCCAGTATCTACTTTTGCTGGCTACGCTATGAAAACTAGAAGGAAAATATTTAACAGTTATGAGGTAACCCTCCCACTGAAGATGTTTCTTTCTAACACTCAGTGAAGACTCACCTATGCTCAGAGCATAAGAACTTCTCTCTCCTTTGGAAAAGTTCTCATCCAATCTATTGTGCCAGTTCTCATTACACATGAGTATCTAATCCCTTTCAGATTCCTACTAAAGGCTACATGTAGTCAATGACACTTTGTTGTTAAATCTGGGTTATTTTCTTTCATCTTTAAAATATTTGTTTTCCCCTTCGCAATCTAATTGACGCTTTGGTTCCTGCATTCTAACAGGGTTTAGAGAGAACTCAAATGTTTGATTAACTGATACACTTCTGACCCTTCTATTATGCCTATAAGTAGGCTCACAAGCTACATGAAAGGGTCTCAGGTACTGCTGCAGTTTGATCAGGGAAGACTGAGGATATCTGATACTTCCAGAATTAAAAAACCCAAATCCTACAACACAACTTCCACAACATTGCAGACTCCTTCTCAAAGTGTTAAGGAATGAACACCAAAAGCCATTTTTTTCTTTGCAAGTCCTCATTAAAAAAAAATTAACGTTAGACAGGATACCTTTGTCATATAGATTACATAATTTTCAAAATAATTTTAAAATATTTTTAAAAGAATAAGTCTGAATTTGTTCTACTTCAACAAAGACCAAAACTTTTTTGTATTTATATTAATACAATTTAAAGAATAGGAAATATTCATTTAATATTGTTAGGATTCAAAACGACTTGAAGTAACATTCTCACTAGGTCTAGACTCAAGCTCAAGACTGAGATGTTCTAATATTGCAAGAACTATTCATATCTTATGATTTTGGCCAAACTGAGCAAAAAAACCTGTTAGCGATTTTGGCTGCATCAGGCCATCACCTTACATCCCCATTCCTGTAACTGTGGACACAGTTAAGAGCAAAAATCATTTAGTAAAGTACAGGTCTGTGTGCATCTGTACATTTCAGATTCCAAGAAGTTCAAGAAGAACCCAAATTCAAAGTGCAACTTTTGGCCACCTGTCACTAAATAAACAGAAATAATAAACATTGAGTGTTAAAACAAAACTTACTCAGATACTTGTTCAGCGGTTGGGAAATCTACAGAAACTGAAAATAAAAATAAAGGATTTAATTAAAGATATTTTTAAATGTGGAAATACACAAGTACTCACTTTCAAGCATAAATGCACAAAAAAGATGGCAATGCAACTGAAAAAAGGACTGTATTAACACAGACACATCCACACGTGTGCATATATTTACACGTATGTACGCTACATGAAAAAGAGACTCACCTTTTTCTATAATAACTTGACAAGTATGAGTATTGTTTTCACTCAGATGTGTGGCCATGTTATCTAAGCCAGAAACATCAGTCAGGAAATCACAGTTAAGACATACTACAGTCACACCTCTAGAGAAGAAAAAGTAAAAAGAAAGTATAAATTCTACATGCTTATGAAAGAGTTTTCGCTTAATTCACAGCAAATGGACAAACTATACAAGAAGAAAAACTCATGGAGCTTCAGATAAATTGTGGCATAAAATATATTCTTATCTTTCGGACTGCAACCAACACCTAGGAATCCCAGGACATCTCTGTGAAATGCCGTACAAATAAAGAATGGCACTTCAGACTAATTTTAAAGGGAGAGTTTGATTTTTTTTTCCTCTTCATTTTGCCCATTATGAATAATCGGAGAATAGAGAAAGGAAAATCTTTTGAATGGATTAAGAAAAAAGTTAAGAATTGTGCATGAATAGCAAATATTTGCCTCTGAAGAGAACACTTCCAATGGAAGAACTAACATTTTTTGTTTTCCTGCTCTTTTTAAACCATGGAAGCCTAGAAATTCAAGGTTCTTGTCTCATTTAACCAATCAGCTCACTAGCAAGAAGTAAAAATGCAATGATTTGCAACTGATAAAGAAAATTACCTTAGCTCTTCTGAATGCTTCTTATAGATCCAAAACCTTTTACTCGGACGAGCGCTGTGAAAACTAAATAGAAGGAAACATTACCACTTAAACTGATTTTCTTGAGTACATTATTCCATATATCCCCTGTAAATGTAAACGGTACTGTAATTTGCTAATGGCAAGGCATGAAAATATAAGACTTATCCACTGACCTGCACTATTGTAAAACATTTCTGAAAACTTACAGGTTTGTGAATCTCATCTCTAGTTCAAAACACTGAAAAGCTATATCGTTAGATTCAACCTCTAGTTACTTAAGTTTATGAAGGCAAAGGAGAGAGAGGGAGAAGGGAAAAAAAAAAAAAAAGTCTAGGCAGAAGAAAAAAATAACCCAGAACATCTGACACTGCTGCTGCTGAATCTGCCGCTGCTGAATTAGCCTCAAGGAGACATGAAAGAGAAAAGACTGGCTATTCTGCTGCAAGGTTTAGTATGACATCATCCAGCACAGGGGCAACAGAAGGAAAAGCTTACCTTAGATTCCCCTTTCCCATTCTCGAGTAAGCTTTCTTTTGTATAAACAAAGTTAGGCAGATTATTTTTTTATTTTCTAAATACGTAACCTGTAGGTATTATGCATAAAAGCATGGAAACCATTTCAACCAAGAACTTATATGAACACTGATATTAATATGCATAAGACAAGACTTGAAGAGTTCCAAAATGCCAAGAGACTATATACTTATATGTATTTAAATATACAACTGTATATTGTTTTTTCCACAAGACCTTTGATTGGTTTGAGGCACAGGATTAACAAGCAGGTTTTCAAACTTGTGTTTTACTTTCACTGCTACGTGATCTATGTCTAATTTATTGCATAGTATATTCCCATTGCTTTGAAAATTAACCATTTGTTTTCTTAAAAGGTTTTTCTATAGCCGTCATCACTAATACTCTACACTACTTCACTATCAGCAAGAAGCCTCCTGCAAGGTGAGATGGCATTATTTTACATATGACAAGAATGAAGTTTAAGAAAAAGTATCCATTTAAGCATGTTATTTGAGACACCCATTACATGGTATTCTGAGCAAATATTTCACTAGCAATAGCTGTGGCTTTATATATTCAATACTCCAAATCAGATAAGGCCTTAAATCTGAAACCCAGAAAATAAGCAACATACAATTAGTCATTATTTGTAAAATCTGGTTGAAATGATTGTAAAAGATCTCATAGAAATTCTGAAGCAAAGACAAAATACCGCCTGAACCACTGGATATTAAGGTGGAACCAGGGCTCTCATTACAAAGTGAAAATTCAAGTTTGCACGTTTTCATGTCAGTCCTATGACTCAAAATTCGAATAAAATTCAGTCAAAATTCAGCTAATACAAACACTTAACACAACTTACATGAATTTAAATAGTATTTGGTATGTAATCAATTTGATAAATTTGAAGAGGAGTTCTTACCTCATCATGTGATTCACATAGGCTTTGCTACAGCTAGTGTTATATCTGCACAAGCTACAATGGACATAAGTGGGAAAGTGGCTTGCAAAATCTTTTATTTCTGAGTAACACTCAATACATTTGTGAACTCCCAAACGATACCTAACGGCAATACAAAAAAGTTAATAGTTAACATTAATACTTTAAGATGACATAACTCTTCCAAATTTTTACTTTAAATGAGTAACAAGCTTGTTTTTGTAATACTATCATTATACTCTTAATCATAAACTGAAAGTTAATGTAAGCATCTGTTTTTGGCCACCGCTGGAAACAAGATACTACTCTAGATGAGAACCTTTGATTATAGCTGCTGCTTCTGTCTTTATGCACTTTAAAACGATTTCAAAAGAAGTGGTTCATAAATTATGACGTGTAGAAAAGCCTGTGGTTTTCCTGTGTCCCCTGATATTCCCCACAAGTTTTGAAATATCTACAAATCAAGAATGCACAATCTGCTCTTCCCCGATTTTGCTGGCTGTTTTCAGATGTCTCATAAAACTGTATATGTGTGTGCGTGTGTATAAATAGATATACACAATCACATATGTAAAACGTGTGCGTATGTATGTATACACACACACACAAGCATTAGCACCTTCTTGAAAGGGGGCATCCATAATCTTTAACAAAGACAACTACTAATACTATCAAATGAAATTATATTCTAGTCCATAAAACACCCACTAAATTATCAAAACAAGGATAGCATTCTCCCCACAGCTTGCTCTTACTTTCTTGATTCTTTTGATAGCTCTCCAAATCAAAGTGCCTCCTAGGGCAGGCAAACTTTTAAATAAAGGATTCAAGTAAAACCCTTACTCTGGTGGAGGGAAAAGTGTTTTTCCTCCATCAGGAAGCCTGGAAAGGCCACCTGGGCAGATATATTCCCCTTCACAGGTCACTTTTGAACATAAATCTGTCTGATGAGTCAGTATTTCAATAGTCTGTGGCTCTTTGTGTATAGAAGAATCTAAACTTAGAATAGAGAATTTTCCAGAGCATCTGTTCTTCCATCGTGTTGTTCTGCCACCAACAAAATTACAAGGAAAGAAGATTTAGAATTATAATCACAGCACTAGTACAAGCGAAGCTTCTTTATGAGTTTGTCCTTCCCGCAAAACTGAAGTGTCAAGTCTTCTGTATTGTAGTACCGTAAATCATTTAAAAATAATTAAAGATCAGTTATTTATATTCAAAGTACATTTAAAAGATATTTTTAATGCTAATATTTTACCTCAAGTTATGCAATGCTGTATTTGCAACTTTATTTTTTTTTTTGCTGCTGCTGCTGCTGTTGGTCCATGCATTTTGCTTCTTGGGTATAGTTGACGGCTTTGATTTTGCTTTTGACTTATTTGCATGAGATTTGTTATGATTTTTACTGCTTGTATTTTTAGCTTTAGGTGATAACTGAAATGTGGAAGAGCTTGTACTAACAGAAGATGTAGCAGATGATCCTGACTGAAGAGGTCCAACAGATGCTCGAATAGTAACCTAGAAGTATGAAATTAAAAATTGTTCTGTTTAGATTTAAGCTTTTTTCAGTTCTCATTTCTGTTTGTCCCAAAGTTAGAGCCACCTCAGGATAAAAATAAGTATGCTGCATATAACATAAGAAATCCCAGGCACTAAAGCCTGTTTTGAAAAATACGAAATAACTTAACAGCGCAAACATAACCTGAATAGTCTATTTCCACCAAAACAAAAGCTTTAAGCATCCAATAGATTGCCTTGACAAAACACACTGCTTTCTTATCAACTCTGCAACTGGCTACAACCCGCTTTCTTAAAAAAGCAAAACAAAAAACAAACAAAAACACCCACCACAAACCACACACAGAACAAGAAAAAACAAACAGCCCCCCAAAAAGTTCCCCACACTTCATTGTGGAAAAGAAATGGAATGGTCAAGTCAATTAGTCCCATATGGAAGAATAAACAGTCCCATCAGTTTTTGGGTTAAATAAAACCCCTGTTGTCTTGTTGACTCCTGACCAGCAAATCCACTTACTCTACATATTCTTGTCCCTCGTTCTAGCCCCTGTCCCCCCAGTGAAAGGCAAATTCTCATTTCTGACCTCCTGTTTGGCCTTATCACACTGCCTTGCCTTGCCCTTTAATTTGGTTATCCAGTTTTCACTCACAGCATGACTTCTAATTATACTTCTTGCCCAAATTCATAGCTTTTATGGATCACCTCAGCTTCTAAACCTGGTTCCAAACTCTTCAGCTTCATCAATGTCTTGTCAAAGTCTAACAACAAAACTTTAAAATAAAGCTAAGCTTTTATTAGGTCTTTGAGCCTCTGAAATCTTTGGAGAAACTGAAGCATCATCACAGAATACAGAATCAGTTCTTCACATTCTGCCATGGAACTCTATCAACATCAATGATTTTCCTTTCAAAATACAATGCAGCAATCCTACAGGAAATGAAATGTGAGGAGCTGATGAACATGCTCATTTTCTTTTTAATTTAAACTGAAAGAAAAAAAATCTTCACTCTTCATTAAAAGAGTGTAGGAAAGAAATCCTGAAATCTACAGGAAAATCCTGGTCTAATTTGTTCCTCCTCAAGAAATGGAAGAATGACTTAAAGATAGTCTGAGTATGCTGAAGGGACCCCGCTTTTCATCATAACACATATAGGAAATTGCTTGTTTTACTTCATAGGGCTGGAGCTAAAAAGTCCTGGGGCGCTCAGTTCTAATCAGGATCACCTATAGAGAGGTAAGTCTTGCACCCTACGTGATCTTTGCTGCTACCTTCAACAGGTTGAAAACATTTCATCAGAAGTGACACACGTCCCTCAGACCAACAGCTAGACTACATGGTTTCCTCCTAGCACAAGGAAAAAGGAAAGAGGAGGGGACAAATTAACCCACAGTTCAAGAAACCAGCAGTCCCGATTGGACAACTTTCAGTTATATAAACTGACATTTATATACATACATATATATGTGTATATATATAGACGGAAGAATGGGAAAGAGAGCAGCAACACAGATGACCAGCAGGAAAGCATAATCAGCATGTCTAGCAAGTCTGGCAACAGGGAAGAGATTAAGCTGTTTTGGAGGTAGCAAGAATGTCAACGCTTTGAAGAGGGAGGGAGGAAAATACTTTCCTCTTTTCTGATTTCTATGAAGGCATGTTATTTCCTCTGCCCCTTTTAGTTTTTTGTATGACATACATTTACCTTTGTTCCAGGAGGCAAACCTTCTAATTGCTTAGGTTTTCTAAATGTTCGATGATGCTGAGTCTTGTGATCCATTTTTTCTTTGCATGTCAAAAACTGCAGTCTGCACTTAGTGCAACGGTATACTCCTTTTTTCTTTTAAAAAGGAAAGAATTTTTAATAAGCAGGCAACCCTTGTCTTTCTCAAGCAATGATCACCCAGTTTTTAAAACCAACCTGTCAAACTCCCAACATCGTAAAAGCCAAAATGCCGTAAGAATTAAAGAGAGAACATTTAAAAACTTTGAAAGTGTAAGGCAGTGCTATTACTGAGAGGAGTACTAATCAGGTTACCAGTTCCAAGAAGACACACTACTAATAATCCTTTGTCTACCTAAACCAGGAAAAGGTTTGCTAGCACTGTCAAGAAATGTAGAATACTACAACTTAATGAAGAAAAAGAATAGCAAAGACATTCTTTCAGGCGTATTAAGAGATTTTTAAGCAGGGATCTCCTGTCACACAGCATACATGAAAACATGCAAAAACTCTAATACAAGTCACTTAAGTCTTTTCAAAAGAAGTAGTCAGAAGTTTTCCACTATATCTTATTAACTATTCTTAGTAACAACCATACAAATCAATTGCACAATTTTTTTTGGAGCAAGATGTGTGACAGTTAATACATAGTGGTTCGCTAGCATTAAGGAATGAAAACAGCTGCTTACCTGATGTCTCATGTAATGATGCATATATGGTGCTCCAATTTTAATTACTTTGAGGCAAAACGGGCATAGCAAGTGTTTTGTATTTTCATGAACTGTTCTGAAATGTGTTTCTACATCTGAAAAAGCTGAGGATCGGTAATTGCATACCTGAAATCAGAAGTTTGACTCCCTTAGTTAAGAGTTTATTGACAAGAAAAACAGATTGGAGGGTGGGGAGTGTAATCTAAATACAAAATCAATCATGCTGAGATACCTGGCAAACATATGGCATTTCACCTGGCTTATGATTGTCCTTCATATGTTGCAAAAGAACTTGCTCTGTTTCAAAGGATAATTCACAGATTTTACAAATAGCTAGAAAATTAAAAAAAAAATTAGTTTGAGGGCAGAACTGGATAAATTATAATATTTGTGTACACATAAACTATATAAATTATAAATGTAACAACCCAAGGATTATTCTGATCTTGAAATTCCCTCTACAACTTCAGGAAGCCAAGTGCAAGCCCCTTAAACAACATGAATTCTTGTAATCAAGCTTTCAATTAAAACAAACAAAACAAAAAACCCACCAACTTTTTGAAAGGTTTTTCTAGACACATTGCCCCAAAGTTGAGTAACTGCCCAGTTCCTATACTAAATCTCAATACTATTTCTCTTAAAGTATAAGAGTCCACTACAGCTTTATTCTTAAGTTACGAGTCAGTAAGAAAAAGTCAGAAAATAGCTAAACAATTTTACAAGAAGATTAAATGCGATACAATGTAACTTACTAGATGACTCATAAGGCGTGTGTGTACTTTCAATGTGGCACTGCAGCTGAAAGGGGGTGGGAAACTGACGGTAACAGTGCTGGCAGGTGGTGTGGCTTTCCCAACTTTCACTGCTCTGCTTCTCCAGCTCTAAGTGATGTTTCATGTGGTTCATAAACCTTCAAATAACAGTGAACACGTGCAAAAATACACTTTTTAACAAATGTTATACACGATGAAGGTCACATGTAAGATGTAGAAGAATATTTAGAAATTCTGTAAGCACTTAATTTCAAAGTATCATAGGAGTAAGCATTCATTAAAAAAGCAACAAAGTTAAGCAAGCCAACTATGCTAGAATTCATCTTTCAAATTTCAAAAAGAAATCCTGACTATTACAAAAAACATACAATTTATCTGAAACATTATAAAACTAAAGTATTCTGTCATATTTTTCATGTTTGCTGTGTCAAAGTTCTTGTCATGAAGTATAGGGAAACCAACAACAACAAAACATATAAACTGTTCACTTTTTAAACTAGTTCTCCATGAATGTTTCAAAGCCACATTATGAAGTAAGTGTAACTTGGGTCTCCTGAAAGCTATTAAGCAGCAAGACATTATCTGCAATGAGGACATTCACAGCTGAATCTGAATCTACCTTCACTCAGAACTGACAGGCTTCCAATAGCTTTCTTTGCATAAAGCACTCAAGACAGAGGATGAATTATGAAGCAGTTACCAAATAATGCCACTGTGCAGCTGGCAGTAAAAATAGTATCAGAAACTTGGTGGTATGATGTCAGTTGCACCAGAAAAACTGAACACCCGTGTAGGCAGATAAGAATCTGCAAAATGACTACAGCAGCAAGGCAAGATCATGTTACTACTAAAAGTTATAATCCTTCCTTCATTAACATATGTCCACCTTTCTGTAGGAGAATCTATCTTGGCTGAGATGTCTTGCTCATGACTAAAAGTTGGCAGGTGATAGTTACTTGCAGAGCAGTAAGTTACGACAAGGACAGGTTAGTTGCACAACCTACTGCAGATCACTTAATAAACCATCCCATTTTGAATAGACTTTATTTCAGTACAGCCAGAGGAACAGTTAAAAATACATCATGCTCCCAGAAGAAATGGATTTCTCAAAGGGGTAGCCTGAGAACTGAAAACCCAAAAGAGTACAGCCTCTTACTTTGATAAGGAGAATATTCTCTTGATTTCAAGTTTCTAATATGGTGTAGTTGCTAAAAAAAAAAAAACAAAACAAAAAAAAACACACACAAAGGAGAAAAAAAGAAAGAAAGAAAGAAAGAAAGAAAAAACGTCCCTAACTAACACTGCTAACTGAAGATATCTACATACCTGAGCAGAAGAAAGGAACTGACACTACTACTGCATACTGCTTTAATAGACCATTACTTCAATGTTGTGTTAAATCCTAACTCTAAAAGAAAATGGGAAATTAAGATGAATCACTTTGCAATTTTCTGAATTAAGGTCCAGAAAACTTCCATTACAGGTAGAGACGCACTATGCATTTTTTTTTTGTACAAAAAATGGCTAAAATAATATACCTTGAAAGAAAAATTCTGAATTTAGGTACAGAGATACTGCAAAATTATTACATGGTACGTGGTTTTTACCATAGTCTAAAGATGACAAAAGAAATGAACAAAAAATAAAACAAAACCCACCACTTTCTGATGTTCTACCTTTCGCAATTGCTAAAACTAGCTAGAATTTTTGATCTGCTATATCTTTATTATATTATGACTGCTTTTCCTCTTGGCATCAGGGGCTAGATCAACTTTAACGTATTATTATAATCAAGATTTAAGAAAGAGTCACCCAGAAAATACTGGCAAAGTCAAGGAGTTCTGGTAATAAAATCTAATTCATCAAAGAGTAATCCCTAATGAGAGAAAATATGACCACGAGGGTAAGAAAGAAACTGAAGATTATACAGAAGATTATACAGATACATTCATCATTGTGGAACACAATGCCAAAAATCATCTCCTCCAAAAGCCAAGTTAACAATTCTGAACAATTCTAGGGTAAAAAGCTGGATGGATGCATGGAGGATCCAAGAACTAATCCATCTCTAGATAAATTTCAGTGGTTCACAAAGAACAAATTATTTCTTTAAATGATTCAGGGTAATATTAAATATTGTAAACTAGTTTATCAAAGTATTCTTAAGTTTTGCATTCAACTTTCCATGGACTACTTTCAAGAGATTGCAAGAAAGGCTTATTTGTAAAGTATTATGCACAGAAAAACAGGAGAAATACATCTCAGCCCACAAACACTATTTGTTGTTCTTAAGAAGATAAATTGCAAGGAAGGAAATGCTATAACCAACAGTAACTATAAAATCATGAAAGTAATCTCTTTCAAAGTCCAACCACAGTCAGTATTTTCCAGCTGCTGATGAAACAAGTTACTAATACTTCTACTTTGGATTTACATGTACTTAATGATTAATGGCAACTTTACTGTTTGCAATTATAAGAAAATTTTATTTTATTTAATAACATAGGTTTAATGTTAGCACAAGGTTGTTCATTTTAACCTGCAAACTGTGTCCTTCAAAGGACTAGTCCATTTTTCAGTTTTACGTTTGGCTAGGCTACTTCAGCTTCCCTTGAAGAATTCATGTAAAAAAGTACAGTGACCTTAACTTCCAAAGCAACAATGGCACAGACTGGTCTATACACTAAAACAGCTTATTGAGGCTTTTTGCTGCATTTGGAAGTAAAACTATTCCAAAGATCAGTTATTACATAGATAAGACACCAACTATTACTAGTTTTGAATTCCTAAAGAGAATTATACTCACGTCTACTGACACTGTTATTAATCAAGATAGCAAACTGTAAAACAGCTTTTGTTGCCCTTTCCAACTCTGAAGTCCTACAACTAGTCTCATTAAAACTATGCTATTTATGTTAAAAACTATTAAAATGAGTATCCTAATCTGTATGAAGTTTAAGTTACAGACATAAATAGTAAAAATGAATTGCCTCCGGTTCACTTAACCTGACATTATTAGTTTTCAATAAGCAAAAACAAAACAAAAACAACAAAAAAACCTTTTCTGTTGCAAAGAGACAGTTCTGAATGCATGAGTTGATTTTTTTTGTTGTTAACTTACAGCCCTTAGCAGTTATAGAAGAGAGTTCAAATACCTTATGTTATTTTTAAGAACTTTCAGACAACTGAAGCACTTAAATGTTGTATGAGTCTTCTGCTCCTGTTGTACCTGCTGGATATCACCTTCATGTTTCCCATAATAAAAGTCATTAACTAACATAATCAGTTTTCCTTTCTCAGATTCAGCAGTCTTGCTTGTTGTGCCAGAACATTCCGTTTTGGCCATTCCCAGGAAAAAGTTATTTAGCATATCTGGACAACAATACTGGATGGAAAGGGGAAGGAGAAAAGAGAAACAGAGGGAGGGAGAGAAAGATAAGACTCTGTTATCAAACTGTACCAATAATGACAGCATTTTAAAAATTGAAGCCACTGGCTAAGCAGAGCTACATGTAAAGCTCCATTCCAATTGTTCTGATGCAATCTGACTTCGTTCTTATTCACATACAGCTTTTGAACAGTAACTGATCTTTCGCGGTGTTCAGATAATAAAATACTACATATTTTTAACACTGAAGAGGGATTATCCCCTTAAGACGAGTTTAAGTCACAAATCAGAATAACAGTGTTGCCAAGTGGTGCCTTACTCATTAGAAAAACGTATACCTGATTTAAATTTAATAATGAGAAAAACGTAGCTTTTCTGTAAGTATTTTGCTCACAAACTAAATTTGCTGAGAACTTCATGGGAAGTTTTATCTTTTATTTCTTTGGGGAGGACATTTGTTGAAGACCACAGAAGTTTCTTCCAGTGTTACTGAAGAATTCAGAAATTTAAAGTCACACAATGCACATTGCTCAAGCTTCTTTACCTAAAAACTTACCTAATACTTATAAACCTCCTAGCTACAATATGAAATGTAATGCTTAAAAAGTACCAAGCAACTCATGTAGAAGATGCTACGAAGTTTTCGGCAGCTAGTACAATTAGAATGTTTCAGAGGACAGATCTTTCTCCTGCTGAATAAAGCTTCTTACTGTACAGGCCTAATTCTGTGAGCCTTCTAGCAAGCAGTTCGTTTCCTACTGTAGTAGTTTGACTCAGTATATTTATCCTATATGGTTAAGCAAAAATTTAATAAAACTAAATTAGCCTACTACTTTAACATTATCTTTTATTCAGCTGAGGTACTCAATGCAAACGCTATTCTCTACAAATAATGACTAGAGAAATATAAAACAGTAGATTTTTTTTTTTCATTATTATATATGTTTCTTATTTATGTTTTGACACTGAAGGAGGACAGTAGTTACCATTGAGGTATCTTGAGCCCATTAAACCAGAGTGATCTATGCTAACAGTAGCTTAGAGGCTCACAGACCTCAGTTTTGCAGGAATTCCTATTGGTTTTGTACAGGCTATTCATATTGTGCACAAAGTTAAATGCCTTCCTTGCTCCCCCTGAAATGGAATATACATGACTGAAAGTTACATGAGTCTTTGCCACGTGATTTTTATTTATATTTTATATCTATTTATTTATTTGGGGGGAGGGGGCAGGGGGGAATAGAAACAATGATAAGTAGTTCCATAAGCAGAGTAAGTGATGCTCAGTTTCTGAAAGTTTTTTCTTCAGTGTTTGAAGTATGAACCACAGTTTTTTTTCCTTTAGCTGAATAATGTTCTGTAGCTACCAAATGATCTACCAAGGAAGAAAAATAAGTTTACACTGAAGTATTTTTCTCAGTAGCAATCATAAACAGATGTGGATCAGCTGGCTGTCTACTACCTTTGAATTTGTAGGCACTTGCCTTCATCAGATTAACCTGAAACTGCCCAATGGTTCTAGAAGTCGCTGCTGTGGCAGAGAGAAATCATACACAGACAGCAAGTATGTCCCATTTTCATTAGAAAGATAATGCAAAAAGGTAGAATTGATACCTCCTCTCCTCCATTCTTCTTCTCTGTGACTATAAGACATTTAGCATTTGGAACCAGGTTGATCATAGCCAAAAGGCAGACTATCTTCTTATCAAAACATGGCACTCTTTCACAAAGAGAAACCCACAGAAGTTTGTCATTATGTTTATCAGCCCTCAAATATTTTACCTTCATATGATTTTTTAAAGGATCCATAAGATTGAAGTGAATATTGCACTTTGGACAAGCTCGTGGAAAAGGTCCTCCGTTTTTAATGCTGCTTGATGCAGTATTTGTACCTGTAAAATGTAAAGTATGTTAAGATTCAGAATTCACAAGCAGAAGAATAACTGATTTATTATTATTTAGTGTTCTAGTAAAACATACTATTTAAAATGAAAACTACTAACAGTTCATGTGGCAGAGGTAGCCCTAAACAACGTTTTACAACCATCTTGCTACTCTTTCTGAATTCAGTTTGAGTTTATTCTTTTTGCCTATAAAAAGACATATGCCTATAAACAAACAACTTTTACAGAATTTTAGCATCAAAAGAGGAAAAAATGTGAGGGGGGGTCAAGGCAGCATGACAGACAAATGCAAAGCGTTAATTCTGCCCTTCCCTCAGCTTAGGATAGATTTGGTGATTTTAAAGAGCTTCAATTCTCAAAAGAACATACAAAATTTATTTTATGCCATGAGCTGATCATCATCACAATAGGGTTCAGAATAACTGTTTTTGGAAAGGAATTTCACCATATGGTTCTCAATGAGGAGAATGTGTCCCTCTGGCCAGTAGCTGGAACCTAGTTGCATCATTCCTGTTGAGCAAAGGTGTCTTTGGAAAACCTGGAGAATAAATCCTCTAAATAATTACTCCCACTAATGAAAGGAAGAATACTTAACATTTTTCTTATCAACATAAGATGATTAATACCTAGTGAGCAAGTAAAAAAAAAAACAAACACCAAAAAACCCACAAAACCACCAAACTACCCAAATGACATTAGCTCAAACTTTAACAAATAGACCAAGGCTTCCGGTTTTCTCCAAACTGCCCAAAACAAACAAACAAAAAAAAGAGAGAGAGAGAGCGCGAGAGAGAGCGCACACACGAGCACGAGCTATTTCTGCAGATGAAGTTCTCTTGCATTTAAGAGTCATCCACAGATCTGGAGGACCTCAGGCTAGGTAAGCAATTTAGAAAAAGGTAGATTAAACACAGGAAGAGTTAAATAACATCTCAACCATAGGGTTAAGTGTACCCTGACAGGCTACGAAAAATGTAATAAAAATATATATATACACAAATACATCTGCTTTATAACAAGTGAATGAGTAAGCATATCAGTGAAGAGATGACCATGTGACAACCTCAGATTCTGTCACAAAAAAAGGTCTCGTGTAGTCCACAAGGTAGGCATGGATCAAATGTTATTTTTCCTTGAGGATAACATTATTGTCAAGAACCATAACTGAGCAGAAAGCCCTTCACATGCGCGGATGACCATGCAAGAGACATACCTCACAATAGTGTTTAAGTCTTTGCTATCACAATTTGTAAAACATTTTGATTAAGTCACATTTAAGGGCAAGCTAAGTTGGAAGAAAATAGGTTCTGTAGCAAGATCTAGTGTTCTGTGATGCCTCAGATATGGATCCTGTGACATGTAAAATTTATATTAGCATGGAACCACTTAGAAAAACTCAAAAAAAAAAAACCCCATGCTCTGTGAATATCATCTATTTCTTTGTTACTGAATTTAACAGGAAATTCTGGCTATCTTTTGTGTATTATAGGCTGCAACATAATATCTATTTTGCCCAGCATAGGCTGAAGGAAATTTTCTTGCTGCAAGATTCAAAGCTATAACCACCTTTCTGGTTGCTGGGGAAGAGCCTGATGGGAGAACAGCTGCAGACAAGAAACGCAAAAAACCAAAATACTATGCGATTCCCAACAGTGGAGTCACTCTGCGGGTAGCTTCTTATTTCTGTGTTATGGGAGAGTGTGTGGCTGGAAGTGTCCTAAAGTCGAGAATAAATCCTTGTCAATTACCATCACTTGGAACACACACCTTTTAGCTCAGGAGGAAAATGCACCTAATTATTAAAATGATGAAACAGCTAGACTACCTCTCTACTTGTAGGGAGGGAAAAACCTTTCAAAGAGCCTCCTGAACCTCAAATCCCCCTCCTCCCTTCCCACCACTATTTTAAAGCAAATCAAAAACACTGCTGTAAAAGAAAGGTGGGGACAGCAAAATACACTTTGCAATAGCTGGTCCAAGTACAGAATCACAGAATAATTTAGGTTGAAAAGGACCTGCGGAGGTGTTCCTGTCCAACCTCCCGCTCAAACCAAGTCCAACCTGATCAGGATGCTCAAGGCCTTGTCCAGTCAACTTCTGCATATCTCCAAGGATGGAGATTCCATAAACTCTCTGGTTAACCCGTTCCCATGTCACCACTCTTAAAAATGATTTTTTCCCCCCTTTTCTCTCAGAGACTAATTGATAAATTCTGCAGTTTCGGAATTCTTGCAACCTTGTTTTTTGGTTTGTTTTTCAAAGCTTTACCTCTCTATTCAATTCTTTGATACACAAAGTTTGAACTAAAAACGATGAATTCAAGGGCATTTATTCTGAATGCCTGTGCTTTCACAGCTTCTGAACAAGTTAACTACTCCTTGTTTTATAGGGTCACACACAGCTAAACAAGCAAGATCTTAAGTCTCAATATAAAAAACCTTTGGGCATATTAATTTGTAAAGTTATATAAATTCTTGCATAGACTTTTTTATTTTAAGGCATAATAAAAAGCAGAGCTATTAATTTACTCTGCCTTAATAACATTAGTTCTGTTCAACTTCAACATTGCATGAGTGCTAGCTTTTTCCATGGAACAGATGCATGGATTGACAGCTAGACCATTTGATCTACCCTACCTTTTGAAGATACATTTTGTGATGGAGTTACTGTTGCAGAGTTAACTGTAGGTGAAACAGCAGAATTGCTTCCAGCACCAACCTCATTAGGCTTGGTCTTTTTTGGAGTTACACTGTTGCCTTCAGAAGTAGCAGGACGCTTAGATACAAAAACACTCTCATTCAGACCTACAGTGGTTTAAATTAAAGAACCTCAGTTTTTTTCCAGAGTATATTACGAACACATTACTGATACCTATACTTTAAAGGATGGACAAGTCTAAATAATGCAGTTAAGCTCTTGCTCACAGAATAAACCATTTAGAAATTAAGAATACTATAGCCAACTCAGATATTTTTAAGATAGGTGGAGAAGGAAAGGCACTGCCCCTTCTCCTGAGAGCCACTAATCATACTACGACTACCTGAAGAAGGTCTACATTTTTGCTCACATTCTTTGGCCTGCTTTTCATGTCTTGACCCACGCTTATCTCAGACAATATTATTTCACAGTAATAAAGTTAGGCAGCTGTTTTCTGCCTCTGCCCTTCTGATGAAAAGATATCTCATCCTACCTTTTTTTTTTTTGGTCTTATTCTCATGCTGTTTTAGTTTATTTTTATTTAATTCTGTAGAACATCTGAGACTTCAGTATGCAAAACATTATACAAAATGAAAATAGCACTGTAATTTCTAATGACCTATCACAGCATGGGCATCTGCTTTTTTCTGAAAAGGAGTCAATTCTTTTATTGTTTGTAATATTTCCTTTAAAAAGAAATATTAAAAAACAACTCAAATTCACACAGGTTCAGTGCCTGATAAACCAGTCGATTCATTTTTTGCTCCATCTCGTCCTGAAACCAACATCTCCCGTCACTGTAAGATTACCCTCGTATTGGAGAACCAACCAGTTGATTTCTCTCAGTAGAGAGATCAATCCTCAAGTAGACCTGAGAACAGAGCTGCATGCCAGTAAGTTTTAAGTGCCAGCACAAGCCTTGTAAACAGAGAACTTAACTGTATCATTAAAAGTCTTGCCAACAATCAGAGATAACTCGTGTCACACAAAACCATTCAAAGTTCTCCGAAAAAACAAACCAAAAACAATGACAAACCCCCACCTCCCCCACAATTGTTTTTACCCAATGATTCCTACCTATACCTAGCAAGCAGTCTGGGTAGAGGTGTCTCCCTATTCAGCCCACAGAGGCAAAGAACCACAGCACTTAATACCGATATTTGAGCGCTTGAAGAGTTTACCACGTTATGCCTCATATAGAGAGAACGTACTTTTAATTAACTTTCACTTCTTACATACTTATTTAACCATTCTAAAGCTCTCCTTTGTAGTACACGTTTCGGGAATATCCACCACTTCTTCCTGACAAAAATGAACATATTAAGCTCACATTTCTCATTCAGTCTGTACACTGTTTACCTATGGTAATTAACACATTCAGAAAATGAACAGGTTATTCATTACGTAATACTACTTCCTAGTGTTTTTATTTACTTATTGATCAATAAAGCTAGGTTACAGTTAAGTTAATACATTGTTAGGTACATGAGCTAATTGTATTGGTATCTGTCTTTATTAGCAAAGCTTTTGTACAGTTGGTACGACTTTAGCGTTCTGTATCGCCGAGGCTATTTGAGCATCAGGCCATCAACCCAGAGCACACATTGTGTGCTTAGTTATTATGCGTAGCTGTGTAATGGAGGCTGGGGAAAGACAAGGTCTGATTTTACAAGCATCTTCTGTGAAACACCTTACTTTATTCTAGAAGAACTTATTTGGGAAAAAGACTATTTTTTGGTTATTATTTTTTCCCCCCTTGTCAACATAATTGGCAATACTTTCCATTACAAAAAAAAGCTTGATATTTCTGACCGTGACAAAAAAAATATTTCGGAAAGTATTTTACATATTTATAAAGGTGAGCAGTCTTACCTTACTGTATAGAGCTCTAATTTTCTAGTAAGTTTCCTCTTTCAGAAGTTACCCTAACAATACGAGAGCTATGTATGTTTGCATTTAAATTCTGTTGCTTGCTCATAAAAAAAAAGTTTGAATGCATGTTCTGAAAAAACAATCACAATAATTCTAGGTATTATTTAATACCTAGTTAGTATAAAACAGTTCCACATCTCAGAGCTAAGGAATTTTAACAAGACAAATGCCATCATACATGTGCCTGGATTTTTCAGGTGTACTTATGTGCTTAATGGGTTTTAGTCATCATATCTAAAGAAATCAAGTTAAGCACTTGTTTGCAAATCCAGCTGAGGGGGACTACGATCCTCAACATTGGCAATGAATTAAGCACAAGTTTGAAGAGGGCATTCAAAGTGCTCTCTTGGACCTGAGAATGTAGTTACCAAGAGATTTCCAAAGCTTGAAATACCTTAAATATTCTGAAAGCATAATAAATAAATTGGTGCATCAACCACTGCTATCTCTATTTAGCCTGTTTTTTTTGGTTCAAAACCAGTTTGCACTGGCTCCAGTGGCTAAAATGAATTATTTGCGATTTGTGCCAACATGAAAGGTATATTAAGAACACAGATTTCATTTTGGATTAATGAAAGACATTAAAAGGGTCATATCACTCAATTAATGAATACAATAATTTTTCATAGAATTTCCTTTAAGGTAACATAATTACCTTAATACTTAAAAACTATCTATTTTCATTTAGTAGAAATGGTGGAATCATATAAATGCCAGGTTCTTAAATTTTTGAAGCATCTTTACTCAGTTAAATACTTTCTGCTAAAGAATTTCTTTTTCCATTGGATTATAAAATTTGGTAAACAAAAAGACCTGTTAAAAGACTGATAAAATCTGTTTTAGGACGAAAGACCATTTACAATATTATAGGCTACGTCTTTGTTAGCAGCTTTGTTCAACTAACATGACTTAACAGCATTATTAAAATTATTGACATGAAGATTCTCTCTACTACAAAATACCCTCAAATCAGGATACTCTATATAACTTTCTAGAGTTCTGACAGTCTGAAAGCTCAAAGAGAAGTGACAGATCTATTTAAATATTCAGGATTTCAGTATCAAATATTCAGTAGGCTGCTGTTACCTGCCTGGGATCTAATCCCAATTTTCCTTAATATCTGCTCAAAATTGCTAGGCCAACCCCAACTGGGCCAATGAAATATTCTCAACAAACAGCCTGCTGGTCAGAGGATCCAAAAGAGCCCAGTTATGTTCTGATTGATACCTCTTTCTACCAAAGCATCTCTTTAAATTTGTGCGTAGACACAAAAAATTCCTCCAACCATTGATGTTTCAGACTAGTTTGCTTGATGCCCTACCGAGCAGACTGCACAGCTGAAACTATCAGAGCCTCCAGATACTAAAGAGCTCTGAGAAAAGCAGCAGCCAAACAATTTTTGTTTGGTTTTATAGTCTGCTTGAGTCTATAACCTCCCATTTCATATTACTAGTGAATACTTTGGAAGGTATTTTATAGATACTATGAAACAGCTGGCTATAATCGTATGCGTAGTGTCATTGTGCATGATATCTACAGTAATTGCAAGAAGGAGCCAAAAGTATACTGGATGCATTATCAGCTTGCCTGAAGCTTTCTCACACATTACAACACTACTGTAAAACCCTTCATGCCATTATGCGCATCTGTGTCAACTGGGTGTAATTTTATGAATGATGGCAAAATACATTAGAAAGGGTAACCAAGAATATAAGTGGCAAGTGTATTCTTGTAACAGCCACATCAAATTAAGAAAATAAGGATCTGAACACCAAAACTTCTCAGCCTCTAGTACCATCTCCCTTGCCAAGCATCTCCCAAGAATCTAGTGCTATGCTATGAATGCACATATACAGTACACTCAACTCCAAATGCCACAGAATGCTGGTAACAGCATTTCCTGGTTCCTTCAAGCGGGTAAAGTTTGTGGGACAACAATCCCAAAACATTCTCAGATAGCAAACAGCAATTTCAAGTGCATTCCCAGCACCCACCAAACCTGCAAGTAAGATGGAGTTACCAGTGCTGTTTGATTTCTCACCACTATCTATTTAAGAACCTAACAAAACGGTTGGCTAACATTCACCATTTCCTGAGTTCACAGACCTAAAAAACATGTCCAGCCATCAACTGCTTCATGCTGTGAAGCATTAAAATAATCTTTTCTTTAATGACTCCAAATATAGAAGTTAAATTGTCCTGCAGAGTATCACAAGCCAGTTTCCAAAAGGATTCTGCTTTAAATAGCATATTCCACAGCATCTCGTGCCCACAGTGTTGCACGTGAGTTAAAAGAAGCCTAACACTAGCAAGTAGGCATTGGAACATACAAACCACCTGAACATAAGCGGCTTACATAACATAATCATGCAAGCCAAATCACAACATACACATATACTTATTGCTGTGCAATGAAATACAGCGTGTCTTACATTACCCTTCTGTGTCAGAGGGCTAGAAGACTTCGGTTTCAACCTGCAATTTTAAAACTTTTAATTTCCAAATCCAATAGCTATCTTACTCATATAGACAGAGGCTAAGTAGGGCACACTTAAGGCATCTTGAATTACAATCCTTGGTGCTTTAAAACCTTTTTTTTTTTTTTTTGGGGGGGGGGGGGAGGTGGCGATAAGAGTCTAACATAAGTTCCGTGTTAGAATAAGAGTTCTAATATTAGTTCTTCTAACCTGAAAAAGGACTATAATTAAACCATACCACCTGTGCTTTGAAGAATTAGGGCTGGAATACTGAGCCATTTGTAATAAATCAAGCCCTTGTTTACTTTACAAAAAGCTATTTATTTATTCCAATCAGACAATAACTGGATCGCAAAATAGTTGGATCGCAAAATAGTTGGACATGTATGGAAATACACTACCAACCCTTTATTGACCAGAAGCTGGAAGGAATGCCTGAACTGGAGACCTGAAATCATCACATCAAGCAGAAGAGATTAGCAATCATTGTATTTTACATAACCTGTTAATATGGCCTGTTACCTCATAGAAGAGTAAGAGGTGATGTTGCCTATAACAGACTGAATGACAAGATTCTGGTCAGTTATTAGAAAAGTGCAATCCTTCACAAAAGAGAAAGAAAGTTTCAAGTTATAGCCTGTGTAAGATTTGAAGCATGCAGTGTATTCAATCTACTTCATCTGCTGTGACCAGCTGTTTTTTTTTTTTTTTTTAAAAAAAAAAAAAAAAAGGAGTTTCATTTTTTGCAGGATAAATAGTTGCTGAAACCCAATTTACCTAGTTGAAAAAAATATTTTATTTCAATGGCTAATAGCAGTATTATTTCCCTTCTCCTTTCTCTCAAACAGGATCCTTTTGATCCCATCTACTCCAACTGCTGTCTATATAGCAGTCAGGAAACCATGATGATGATCACCAGGGAATCCACTCAGCAGACTCAGGAAGTTCTTCTGGCACTGTTCCACAGCCCCTCTCTTGCCAACAGGCGTTCCCATTCACGTTACCCAGAGAGTACTGGATATACTGATAATAAGCATTTGTCTGTCAAAAAAAGTTACAGTGGATCTGGCAATATTTTTTCCATCTAAATGAGCATTACAAAAAGAAATTAGTTGATGTTACAGTTTCACATGCTGAAGAGCAAAGTCTGACAATGCAAGGCTCCAAAGTTTATTTTCTTAAATGTTAAACAGTGTTATGTACAGTGGGGGTGGGGGGAAGTAGCTATACTAAGTTCTAAAGAGCCTATTTAAAATTATAACTCAAAGATCTGCACTACAGTTAAATGACATTACACTGTTTCTTTCTCTTATCAAATTCAACTACTACAGTTATACCCACCTGTTACATTCACTGCTGGGCCAGTCTGGTACTGTGGAACTCCCGAGTTCTGTCTCACACCAAACAGTATACCAGATGTATTATCTGGTGCAGCTGGTGGAGAATCCATAATATAATCCTAATAAGATATTTTCAAGAGGGAAAAGAGATTTGAGGTTTAACATTTTTTACTTGCAGGCTTCAAAGGGTTTATTTTTAAAACATTATATGCTTGCTTAAAAGTACTCATAAGTACTTCTCTGTAAATCAAGTAAACTACAATCTCCCCAAAATATATAGTTCCTTTTGACAGTTTAAGAAGTTTGCAACTCTTATCGGTGGTTGTTAATTCAGTCACAGCTGTATGTCAGAAATGCTACAACAACCGTAAGACCTGGGAAAGTCCATTTTATGAAATACTATTAAACCTGTTTGAACCACTGGTTCTAATTGCTTTTGTTCAAAACACTGATGCTGCTTCAAATTATACATGAATTGTTTTTCAAGAACAACTCTAATACCTTCTTCCTTCAACCTAATCTCAGGCATTTGCCTGTTACTCTTGTGCAATAGCTACCTGCATTTTAAAGGATGAGAAAGCAGAACTCTAAACAAGAGAGGCATAAACTTGCAGCAAGGGGAAGCTTCTCAAAAGAAGTATGAAAATAGACTGATCAAGTTCTGTAAAGCAGTCAAGCTTTGATGGAAGTAAAGGAAATTTTATAGCACACTGACTGGGAATGGCACTCAAATTTATGATGTCACTACTATTTTTTTTTTTTCCTCTTACAGTTTAGAATCCTAGAATAATTTAAAAAGGACCTCTGGAAATTATATGTTCCAACCCCCTTTTCGAAGCACAACTAACTTAAGTTGGTTTAAGTTACTCTGAGCCTTGTTAGGTTATGCTTTGAACATCTCCAAGGACAGGTATCTCATTACCTTTCAATTTGCTCTTCTAGTACTACTTATAACCTAAAGAATTAGAGTCCATGTTTCCTGGCCTCAATACTCAAAACTGTTAGAACCACACACCCTCATTGATCACACGTGGAGAAAGGGGTTGTGGGGGGGGAGAGTGAGAATTGATTATTTTTACAGATATTCAAAGCTGGGGCATAGGGTAGGAGAAACATGCACTTTCCAAGATTCAACAGTACTGCTCATATCTCAGAAGGCCATTCCTTCTAAGAAAAACAATCTGGAACACGAAATATTGTCACCAATAGCAATAATGAGTTGAGAAAAACCTTAGGATAGTTATGTTCAATTTCAGCATTAAGGTATGAAATGCAAAGTGTTGGTACATGATTCTTCTACTCCAAAATAATCTAATTACTTTTACCTCATAAAGCTGTACTGTGAAATGAAAAGCTAAACAAAGGTAACTCCATTTTCTTATAAGAAAAAAAAGTATTGTCCAACACACACAGACACACTTTGTCATTAACATATCCATGAGACAAAGCCCCAAATACCTTTTGCTGTGAAGATCAATCTCATAAAATGCTTCCCATTCATAATTATGCTTATTTGAAAACATTCCCAAGAAAATTACCTTTTAAACTATCACATTGATTAAACTTGCTGGAAACAAGTCTAGAATGTGAACAAACACACATATAGTTGCGCTAACTCATCAGCAACAGAAAAAATTGGAACAAAATGAGATATGCCTCTCTCCATTCCCTCTTCTTATCATAAATCTCTTCAATGAAGACCCAGTAACACTAAGGGCCACTCTTTCCTCTGGTGAGTGACCTAATCCAAACTCACCAAATTAAACACAAATGTTCAAGAGCAGTTGAGGAAATAAAGATAATATTGACAACATTACTAACAGTTAAGTACCTCTTTGCTCTCATTACTATTAGAGAGCTATATGAACTGCAATCACAGCAGAGCAGGTGTTAGTGTATCCATAATGGCTTCACACTAATAAGCATGATTACTAGCAAAGCAGTTTAGACTGCAAACCCCACCAAATGCAGCTAACACTTGAATGGTAAGCCAGTGGTAGGCTCTTAGATGGTGCAGCAGACGTTACACACCATCTGCAGCTGAAATTTGGCCAATATAATAGCAACAGGTAAGACGTGCCTCTTTTACTACTTTGTGGTTTTTTGTTTGTTTTGTTTTTGTTTGTTTGTTTTTAAGATTTGCTACCATTTTAATTTTCTTCAAAATAACAGTCCGTGTATTCTGTTGGGTTGAATGGTTGCATATTTGGATCTCCCCAGCACATACTAACCATATTTGGTGAGCAAGAAAGTAAAAACAGAGATCCTGGAAATTCAGAGATTCATTATTTTCCAAATGTTTTTTCCATTTACAGTTATTCTTTTCATACAATTTGGCTCTATCATTTTACATACAAAATGGAACATTTTCCCATGCTGTAGAAAACAAAAGCATTTTAGTTAAAAAATAGCTTTTCCAACTCGATGAAAAATCAGATTAACATGTGTATGTGCTCTCACATGCAGAAAGGCAAAAGCTAGCACCTTTATAAGAGGAGTTCTTAAGGCCCAAAACACACACACAAAACCCTTCATTTTTCCAGAAGGCTCTGGTGAAATATTAGGCTAATATTATGCATCCTAGATTTTCTAACTGTGGAAACTGAAGTGATAATCAGTAGTTTTCATTGCCCACCAAATTCACACACAGTGGAATTAGAATGATGCATAGCATTGGACCTCCCAGAAGAGCTAGGTAGAAGTGGACCCCAAAACCTGCCCAACTTGAGTAAGCAAGGTTAAGATATGGACAGAGAGGGATGGAGCCTTTTGGGGAGCGTTCCGAGCGCTGAAGTATAGAAAAAAACCACTTCTCTGAGAATGAACGTGTGAACGAGAGGACAGTACTATGCTCTCATATACAACAACAGTAGCTCTGAATAAGGACTGGTGTATACAGTATCACAGAAGTCAAATTCAGCTCAGTTTTTGGAACTGAGTTAATCCAGACCTGTAACGAGCACACAAAAACTAGACTTTTACAGTAAGGCAGTCAATCCAACCTGTGATAGGAAAGGTGTATTTCACAGATGAAACTGGAATCCAAAACACTGACAAGAGGCAAATTATAGATATACACATTATGAAACTGAGAAAATATCCATTTCAACCCCGCTGGTGATCAAGAGAAATCAGTTCCCACAGAAACAGACTTTGGCATCCTGAGATTTAAAAAAAAAAACAAAAAAACAACAAAAAAAGTACCATATTAAGAATGCAAAGAGTGTTCATTCATTGAAGAACATTAGAAGAAAAAGGGGTCCTGACATAGTATCTAGCCATATTTCATAGCTGTCTGCTCTAGGGACCTTAGCCTGAGCAAGGGGGTTGGACTAGATCTCCAGACACCCCTTCTAACGTCAGCCAGTCTGTGATTCTGTGATCATAACATTAGAATAATTTAATTTTAAAAACAAGCTTCAACATGGGGAAGCTGAAGATCCAAATATTGAACACTTTCTAGATTTAGCTGGAAAAGTGATTTGATGCCTTTGACATTAAGAGCAATCAAGTTGGGAAGGAACAAAGATGTATGAAATAAAACACGTGACAGAGAGCCTAAAGCAGAAAAATACAGATACTAAACAGTAGTCCCAGGAGAAATAAGAACTAGATAAAGGAAGGAAAACAAAACCACCAAAAGTCTAAGGAGCTCTAAAGCAAGGAAATAAACCAAAATACAGATAGCATACATATGACACTAAAAACAGCAAGTGAGGCAACATGCCAGAAATGATGAAAAAATCCCATGTGCACAGAACTCTGCCCAAGAAACAGAACTATATCAACTCTGTTTAAAAAAAACAAAAAAGCGCATGAAACAAACATCCTTCCCCACAAGGAGTGTAACACAATCAAGAAACAAGTCTCAGAAACAATAGAAAAAAAAATAAGAAAACAAATTATTCTAGATAAGAATGAAATTAGAAATACAATTCTGAATCCAGAAAGGCTCAGTTGAAGGGATGGAAGATTCATTTTGAGTCTGTTACGAGTAAGAAAACCAAACAACAAACAAAAATCTTCCTAAATGTACTCAAGTTTTTTGTCAAGAATGACATCTAAAGGCCACATTCAGGAGAATTTAAAATTTGAAAGCTCATGAAAGCCATGATCAAAAAGTTAATACTGTAAAGAAAACATGTAGTATGAGATAATTCCAATAGTGAAAGTTTTAAGAGGCCACAGAACATGGCTGCAGTATAAACCCCAGAACAGGATGCACTACTAAAAAGTGTTGGTCTAACTGGAAATAAAGCCTGAGAGCCACAGAAATGACCGATAAGTAATTAGAGATCCTTTTTTATGCTGTGCATCTTGACAGCCATCTTTCAGGCTGCAGCTTTTTCAAATATCTCTACTCAGCCAGGGAACAAGAACAACCCACAAGTTCAGCAAAGGAGGACTATAAAACTTGATTAAGTCTTATCTGTGCCATTCCTGTTGGAAGTAAACTTGATGAATGAGAAAGAAGTCTCAAAAAGAAGCACCACATATTTACTATCTTTAACCATCAACAAAAATCATTGTCTTAATGAGTTACATCCAGCTTACATAGACTGAAGAAGGCTGAGCATCTCCAAAAGGTATGATTGCTCTAACATTTTCTATTAAGAACACAGTAGAGGCCACTAACAGCTTTATCTACCAGAACAGAAACAGGATATACGCATGAGAGAAGGTAGGGAGAAAGGGGGGCTGTCTTTTGCCATGAAGACTCTGCAAGACATCCAAGCACTCCTTTAGAAAATCTCCTATTAACATCAAGGATTTAATAAAGCATATTAAGTCATGAGAAAACGTTTATAAAGACAAAAATTTCACAGACTTGAAATACACATTTTGTGCAATAGCAGACCTTGCAGTATTACTTAGCCCACTTTATAATCACAGATTATAAGAGGACTCAAAAGGCAATCTGGATATCCTAGTGACATCTAGGGTTTTGACTACATTTATTATTTTAGGCCTTTTTAGATGCAATGATAGACTGATTTGGCTAACCCACTTCACCAGACATGCCCCAAGCTTCTCTCTGCAAGCCATTTAATCAACTGTTGAAGACTCCAAACCAGAAAGCGTGAGTTCTTTCCTAATGAATTTGCCAGTGATTTAACTACCCAGTCCATAGGCACTTCTTTTGCCTTGTTTTTCTTAAAACAAAAGCAAAAACCCAAAGCAATATGCAATGATTTAGCCACAAGTCTTAAGAAGAACATATAATCTCATGTTTTAACTATCTTATTAATTATATTCATTCAGACTGATTCTTCTGTTCAGTAAAAGCAGAATATATTAGGCTACATGGTATTCATTCATACAAAACCACTGACAGCTAGGACAATGGCAGCTCCGTAGATTTGCCCGGAATGTCAAAACGATGCCTACTGTCAGAATAAAGAGAAAGCCATTAGCAGCCCCTGAGCTTCATATGAACCCTACAGCAGTAGCTAATGCTGTAGTCACGTTGCCTAAACAGTCTCAGCTGAAGTTGCTCTTAAGAAAGGTATCACAATCAGTTTACCTCTTATAAGTGAGAAATTTTTCTCTTTGTTCTTTCTTTCTCAAAAATATCCATAGCTAAAGCAAAAAAGCACTCAACTTGACTCTAGCTGAAAGTTATCATTCTGTGATTCTCTGGCTCTCCAGGAAGATCTATGCTACATGATCTGCCTGTGTATGTCCCTTGGGCCTTCCAAAGGAAACAAACATGTTGTAGAGGCATTTCTTCTACTGACCCTGCAAGTTTGGCAGCTTAAGTCCTCCTTACCATACTACCTTTCCACTACCACTGCCAAGCAAACAAAAAAGCAAAAACATCTAAGTAGCTACTGGTACAGCATTCTCTTAAGAAGTAAAAACCACAGGAGACACACTGTGAAAGTCAGGCGGGAAAAAAGGCAAAGTTACTTAAAAGGTCAAATGCAAATCATACCAAAATGAAATAATTATGGAGTATCTGTTTCTTTGAGCAGAAAAACCTGTAAGATGTACAGAATGGAAATGTTCTCATTCACTTACTTCTCCACAGCCTAAACAAAATAAAGGTTGGAATGCTATTGGAAAATTATATTAATTTCTCTCATGTCTCAGATTTTCATTTAATATAATTCCATTGATACTAATTAAAGTTATCCTCTTCGAATCTTGCGACACGTTTTAAACCTAGTATGAATTTGTGAATCAATATTTTCAAATATGTTTTTAATTCAGTGCAAGTTTAGGGTCCTAGAACCTTTACAGTTTATGCAAAACTAGTCTATACTCTAGTCCAGGTCTTCAAATGACTAGACTAAGTGAGTCAGTATGTTCTTCATTGATTTATTCAAAAGTAATAGCTACGGAGTATTTTACAGTTTAAGGGAAGAAAAGTTTACCTCATTTAATATGTCAGGCTCCGCTGTTACAGTAGTCACCGGCCTCGGTACAGGTTGAGCCATTACAGGAACCGCAGTATTTCTTGATGCTGGCTGTGTCGTCACTGGAATGGTTACAGGTCTGCTAACAGGTTGTGATATTCCAGAACTTGACCGAGGCATCTGCTGTGTTGATAAACATCCAGCAATTGGTCTCTGCAATGTCTGTGAAGTTCCTGAAACATTCACTGGTCTAGACAATGGCTGAACTGCTACAGAGCTAGTTGTAGGTCTGGATACAGACTGAAAGACTGATGAAACAGGCATAGCACTGGGGCTGGATGCAGGTGTCGCATAATGGTGACTGTCAGGCTTGAATGTAGTAACTGTACCTGTTACAAAGGATTCCAAAGTTATCTTTATATAACACCCCGCCATAGATGTTTCATAAGAGTTTTTTAAAATTACCATATTAGGACAACATAGTACCTCTACTGGGTGCACCATTCTGTATCCCCCTTCGTGATGAGCTGAGGTTGACTCTGTTCAATATATCTGTCAAAAGTTACATTTGTCTTAATTGCAGATAATTAATCGCTTAATTGCTTTGCAAATTAAAAGCACCATTTATATCCACTAATTAATCCAATTAGAATTTGACTTATATATTAGAAGATTATTTCTAAAATAAATACCTGGCAAAACAAAGTGTCAGTTACACAAATTAAGACACATCCTTCCACTCCCGTCCCCTTAGGGGAGCAAGTTCACCTAAGAATCTTAGTTTTTATTTTGTTTGAGAAGAGTTAATGCACAAAAATAAAATAAGAACATTTCATAAACATTTAGCTCTGCTGATTACAAAATACAAACACATTCATTCACTTCTGTTTGTCGTATCTAATAAGTTCCTCAAATACCAGAACTGACCCACAGAAAAGGAAGCATTTTCTCTAAACCAATACTCAAGTTTGCTTCTGCATTACAGGCAAATATAGGATGCTACCCATTTACTAACTTGCCTTTAGACTCCAACTTCCAGGATGAAAGGAAATTGGAAGAACAGGAATCAGAGGAGCGATATTGGAGCTGCATTACAAGTGCAACAGTTTTATTATATATCCTATATGATAGCCTATGACTAGACTTATCAGAAAGGCATGAAATTTTTTAACATCTGATGCTCGCTACCTAACCCCTACAACAATACCAACATTTGCCGACTAGTTCATCTACATTTTTAGCTTTGTGTTTCTGCTCATTCCAGAACGTTGCAAACATTCATCAAACTAACATCCTCTTCTACCAGCAGGTCCTCAGTTCAGTTAATTTTGCTATCAAGTTTCATGCTCCAAAAGGTAAAATATGCGTATGAAATGAGATCCTCCAATATCTAGCCAATGAGATTTAAAGTAACTTCTCAGACCTGAGATCTTAAGAGAATCTACGTATCGTGTTCAACAACCTTAAGGCTGCTTCCACAGGTAATGACTCAAGAGCATACAGGTTGATTAACAAATTAACAGCAAGAGAACTCAGAAGATCACAGCTCTCAGCCTGTCACCTGCATTTTGGTTGCAGCTCCTTTTTCATTAGTATGATCAACAGATCTAAACAGGTCTGCATGTTTCTAAGACATGAAAAAATGTGTTACTTTATAGTAATATTGCTCTATTTACTTTAACATGACACTAGGAGTATCGATTCACTTCTGCAGTTTTACCTGAACATAACATGTGGTTGTAAACAGATAAGCTTTTTTTAATGTTTGCTATTAAATCTATATCTCACATTTGAATTCTTGAGCAAAATGAAACTAAAGCCTTCCTCTACCTATGAGGAAAAGCCATCCTAACAGTTCTGGTTCACAAAGCACATTCAGCTTCAGGCTGTCTGGTGTACACACAGTTCATATCCTATAACACAATGGTAGATTTAAATGTTTTAAGAAGAACATTTCAGGAAACCAGCGATTTGGAGTTATAACTAGATTTACATGACTCAACTGATACATCACAGACTTCATATTCTCTTTCCTCATCCCTCAAAGTATTATTTGTCTTACATAAAACTGCACTGAACTGTAAGAAAGCTGACATGTAGAACAATATTTTTAAGTAACAACAAGCTACAGCTTACAGCTGTATACAATTGTGAAGAAGCAAGCAAGGAAAACAATCAGTGACTGGATGAGTTGTAGGAAGTTGCAAAACGGAAACAAAGTGTTAATTACTTTTCATCCCAGTCAAACTATTCCTCCAGTACGGCAGGAAGAGGCACTTCACTGTACGTGACACTGTCAGCATGTACAAGTTGGTGATCCTTTATTATTCCTTCAACTTTTCCACATCAGTCTGTATAGAAGTGTTTATTGCATTGCCAAAAGAAAGTTAAAAAGATTGTTGTATATTGCAAAAAAAGTATCTCACAGAAAACTTAAGAACTACATGCAAGCGTCCGTTTGTCACGTGAGCAGAAAGAAATTCTCAAGGAACAACTAAATAAGGGTGATAAGCCAAGCTGAATTTACTGAGGCTTGCCTATCACCAGCGACGACGATTCTGAATACTGAAACCTGACTACTGCCAGGCAGTACTACTTACAAGCCAGAGAAGAACTGATGTCATTCTTCCATAGCTGGTTGGATAATCAAGTAGGAGATTACCAAGAGAAAAGTTGACAAGAGGGGAGGAAGAAAGATAAAGTAGACAGTTATACCATAACTGACTTGTGTCAGGACTGAGTATGGACAGCACTAGAATAAGACACACACACACTGTAAGCCTGTATCTTTTGCATAAGTTCTTAAAGTTGCTGAATTATATTAGAAATATAGTTCTCACTTGAAATATGTTTCCATCCTTTATGATTACAACAAAAAATTTTTTTGAAGCTACAGTGAATGCAACGGAACCTGGCGTATTTGTTGCGCCAACGTATGCCTACCCCTTTTGCCTTTGTTCTACTCCATGACCTACTGCTAACATGACCAACAGCAATTCACAGCTCTCTGGACTGCCCATAAAAAAGTTGTTTTTTTTTTTTCTTCAAGTTTTCCTAGAAGTTTATATCTCTGTAGAAAACTTCTCAGACTCATCTTCAAATATTTTTCAAGTATTCAAGAGGATATAAATTATTTTTCAAGCACTTTTAAAAACATTCAAGGAGATACACGGTTATAAAAACTATTCTTAGGTGAGACAACTTTAACAACTTCAGTACTTCTTTAATATTTAAAGTGCCATCTATTTCTAAGCTAGTGTAAGAGACTTAAGTAGGCTTACAATCCCAGTGAGTGTCAAAGTAAAATAGAGCTCAGATATGAATCATGTGGCTATGAACTACAAGACTGAAGAACTAGTAAGCAGCTTCAAAGTCCATGCAGCAAGGTGTGGCAGAGAGCCTCGTCTAACCTCTTGCCTCAAGATGCTGGACTGTAAACTATAAACATTCAGAAAATGACTACTGAAATCTCAGACAACTGTAGCAGAGATGAGGCAGAAAGAGAAAGCTAATAAACTTCACTTTGCAACCCTGTGTATTCAATAGCCAGAGAACTCTTAACTCAAACCTCTTAACAATCAGCTACAAGACGGCCATATAGCGAGATTTAAAAGCTTCATTACTAAAGTTAATTTAAGTAACAAAAATACTCTCTTTTACTTACCTGCCAAAGCCCAAGTACAGGACACATATGGAATCCTGACACAGCTGCTGATATCACAACCACCACCTAACTCATGCCCTGCACTGCCTGCATTAGGAGAAAACTACAGAACTTGATGAAAAAAACTTCTTATTTTACAGGAGATGAATGAATTTATTAATAAAAATCTCTTACTTGACAGAGAGCCTTCTACTGTTCTCACGTTACTCACTTTTCCTGATTAAGTCTTTATTACTGGCACTTGAACTTGGCTTTGTCCGAGTGACATCCAGCCATTCAGAATGTCTACCAATACGTTAAGTGTGGGGTGGAGAAAAATAAGAGTCTGCAACATGATGACTTAAATTCATGCATATTACTTCAGTAAGGAGTAACGTATGATATGTATCTACCTACGTATCAGCTATACTAAGAACAACTGCATGGTTTCAGTGTTGCATACTAGGACTTTAGCGATGCCATTTATGCTAAAACCTTCAAGTGTCCTAGTTTTGACTTCAGAGACTTAAGGTTCGAGAAACAGACAACTATGTGTGACCTGGGCCTTCAGAAGGACAATTTCCTAAGAATGCCAATTTTCAGTACATTTAAAGTTCTTTATTTCTCTGAAAACTTAGAAGTCCTTCAATCTTACTGTTAAAAGTTTCATATTTTCAAAGTAACTTCAAAGTCATCCACCCTAAAATAACACTTTCTGTAATTTAAAAATGGATATCTTACATGTACTAGCTGGCTTTGAGCTTGAGATTTCCCCGACAAAGATTGGCTCATCATCATCATCATCCTCCTCCACTTCTTTCACTCTCCTTTGCCATGGTTCTAGCTCCTCTTCTTCACATTCCATAAACAATTCTGCCATCTCGAGACTAGAGAATAATAAGGAAGAAGAAAAAAAAAAAGATTATTGCACTTGACAATAACATTCCCTCAGAACGGTCTACTTATTTTTTCACGTTTTATATAGACTGAACCTTATCCACTATGAAAGATCTTTAAGGACTAACACTCCATCACCTTCCTGATGATTTATTTCGATCCTCATTTTTCTCATTAAAAATGAGGGGGAAAAAATCCCTAAGAATCGCCACACCATTTAAACCATTTCTGGTGTAATCCACCAGTCATCATCCAAAAGATGAAGTTTCCAACATCACAGTAAAAAATACCTCTTTAAATATATTTCTATCCCAGGTAAGTCATTCAAAGACCCTACTGTGAGGAAGCATGTAATGTATCTGTCACAAGTGAGCTACTTAAACACTAGTTAAAACTGTGCTCTCTTTACATCTTAAAACAAACAACCAACACCACTACACTCACACAAATTTCATAAAATTTTGCCAGGACTTTACATATAGTCACATTTTCTTAAAATTTTAAAAAATACTGCATAACATCCTTATAATCGGTTAAAACTGGATAAAAGTTTTGTATAGACTTTCATTAGATTGAGTCCCTTATGCTTGGCGATTAGCTCCTGTGGTGAGGAAAGAAAAAAAAAAAAAGACATATTTAGAAATAGTAATGAAAAAATTGTGTGGCCCTGGGGAATTAACCAAACTATCAGCAGCAGCATTAGTCACAACTGTTTGTTTGTTTTGTTTTTTAAACAAACTGACAGCCAGTGATGTCTTCCATTTTCTATTCACATCCTCCAACATAATCTCGAAAGCATTTCTGAGCAATACAGGAAATATGAAACTATTTCATATTTCTTTAAATACACTACCAACAATCTGACATGCAATGAGGCAAGGGCAATTTTGCAGAAGATGAATGTTTTCATAAAACCACTGGGTCACCTAAGTGGTAACTACGACCAGAACCCCAAAAGAATAGCATTTGCTTTTGTCTAATACTGGAAGTTTCAAAAATTTTGGAGCCAAAGCCACCACCAGGAGCCTTAATTTATTTGACGTCTCCATTTTTCAGTAAAGGGTGTGGAGAGGGAAAGGAAACAATGCAATTTTGGGGTGAAGATCCCAAAAGTAATTCCAGACAAGAGGGGGGATCCAATGGGCAGTTTTGTTAAGTATGTGACATTCAATTTGGCATCGGACTGCTCTGGGAAAACAACAAGAACAACAACCAGAAGAATTTAACAGAGCTGATGATCAACTGAAAAGTATTTCTAGTCTTACCACCAGGTCACTGCTAAAATAAAACAAACACAAAACCACCCCCCCATCACCACCCCACTGCTACCTACCTCTGTCATTGTCATTCTTGTGCTGATGCAACACTTAAACATTCACATTATTATACAGTGATAGTTCTCTGACAGTTTAACTCTTTAAACCTGATGACCATCAGACAAGACCAGCACTAACGTCAATGCAAGAAAGGTGGAAGAGATAGACCTTCGATCTTTCAGCAGCAACACAGGGTTAAACTGACTTATTTATATTGTAAGAAACGTAAACTGCTTTTACCCCAAATACTACATATATTTTGATTAGAACAACTCTTTCCTATCACTTCACAGAGTTTAGCCAAGATTATACTTTGAATAAGAGTGGATTACATCTTGTTTTTGAGCAATAAAATAGCAGTATTAAATCGATCTAAAACATCAGAACAGGGGGGGAAAAAAGTAATGAACAGCGCTAGGACTTTTTTTTTTTTCCTTTTATTGGATAGCACAATCTCCACTTATTCAGAAGTCTTGCATTTTTTTTTCCTACACTTGCAAGCAGGTTGGGAATATATGAGGACAAGACATATTTGTATAGTCATTGATTTAAGAAATACATTGCAAATCCATCGCTGTTTCTGTCATGATCTTGAAACTATTACTGCAACATGCTTGATAAATACTAGTCTTGAAAAAACAATCTAAAATAACTATACTGCCTCAAAGATTAGCATAGAAAAAGGTAGGTTACAATTATGACCCAGATTTTGTTCTTTCCTCAAATACATAAAGCCCTAATGTCAAAATTCTCAGTAAATGCCAAAATTCAACATCACCTCTAAAATCTTAGTTCTATTCCTCTATTTATGAACTCTTTGTACTGAATTACATGCAGATCTTTTAGCAATAGATTGTACACAACTCTCATTAACAACTATCAAAGCTTATATACAAGGTGACAGAATCAGTCAGTCATAATCATAAAACTGTTATTTCTTACACTCAATGATTAATCTTATAACATGAAGAGAGTTTTTATTCAACATAGCTTTTTTGTGCTATTCGCCATGATTTTCTGCTTTCAAAAATATTTTGAGAGCAACACGTATGTATTAAACGCAGATCAAGTTTATTTTCTGAAAGTATAATTACGTAAAATTGATAACGCCCCTCATTATCTATCAACAGTTTTTAAAGTCTTCAGTACAGATACATAACAAGTGAGAAATAATTTATTCATAAAAACAATAGAAGACTTAACTTCAGGATAGGAGTAATGAGCTGCTAGATTTGGTGATGGACTACAGAAATGAGAAGACTGCAACAGTATATTAATCTCCCAGTATCACAGGGAGCAGACAGAATCCTGCCCCAATTTGCATTAAAGCATGTAGGAGATAAAGGGGCTGCTAATGTTATGTGCTAAGTCCTCAGGGTAGCGTAAAGTAGCAAAGTTGAACTCCTTCATTTATCTGATCAGGGCGCTATAGTTAGACATAGTGCTAGGAAAGAAGAAAATGAGCCACTAGACCAGATTTTTGTTCAGGCAAAAGAGGAAACGAGTGAAGCCACTTTCCACTTTGCTGGGGCAACAGGGACCATATGCCAGGACCTGGAAAGAGAATCAAGACTGACTCTCTTCCTCCATAGGAGGACATTCTCTAGAATGCCTTTAATAGGCAAAGTTTGCTAAAATTCACAGTAAGATGAAAAACTCTTTTCAAATTCTTCTCTCAGGAGCACTGGCTAGGTAAATAAGGGGGGGACTTAGAAAAATGTGCTTTATTTGACCTTAGGAAAAAAGTAATCAATTATAAACTTGTTCAGAGAATGCAAGGGGGAGCATAGCTCTTTTATATTAATAAATGAATAAACATCCATAGGTTAGGAGAGTTCTAACATGATATACGTGATAATGTCAGTCCCATTATAAGACAGCTAAAGCAACCTTTTTTCCTTCTTCCTCCTTTCAGTTAAAGGAAAGTAGTTCAATAGGCATGGACATTTGGATAGTTTGATGCTTTGTGACACCTCTTGTGAACCGTTCCATTTTACGGATCAAAATGTGCATCTTAAGGTATTCTCAAAAGGTGATTAAAAAATTAGCACAGCTTGTAAAATGGAAGTGTCAGAATATTTCAGATCTTTTTTTTTTTTCCCAACTCTATGAACACCATGCTTTCACCGATTTTTTTTCCCCACCGGCAACAAAGCCATCCTAAGGAGCTGCTGCACTGCTACTCCTGCACTGTTTCCTCAGTTGTGCTAGTACAACTTTTCATCAGACTCTGAGGTAAACCAATGCAGGTTAAAAATAGACTTGCCTACAAACAATTGTACCAGCATAACTGACAGGCCAAAAAATTAGGGCCTGAAGAATCACAGTTGCAGCAGGGGTATAGGGTCGATAACAGGAGGTATACAGGAATTGCTCAAATTGTCTCTGCTGCCAAGAGAAACGTCCACATATATTTTTAGAGTGCAATTAGCTTCCAAGTTTTCAGCTTTTTAACTAGATTAAAGCAGATCACGCATTCCAGGAATCCTGCTAGTGGTTACTCTCAATGCCAGCAACAACAGTAAATTCCCTCCCACCCCTCACAAATATTTTCCAGTGGAGATTCAGAGTCCACTATAACAAACATAAACCTATTGACAATAGACTTTACTCTCCTTAGGTTATATATATATATATATGAACATATATACAAATACATACATATTCACTTCTGTAACAGTAGTCCAAGCGTCCGAGAGGCCCAAGATGTCAATAAAATGGCACATATATGATCAAATAAAGCATTTAAGCAACATTTCTAACCTAAAAAGTGTGAAAACTGTGACCAAGTTCTTCAAAATATCTTCAAAAATCTCATTACAATCCATAAAGATACCCCTTAAAAGGCAACAACAGTTAGAAGGAAAAAAAGTTTCCTAAGTTTATATGGCCAATGCTTCTACATCTCTGCCCAGCAAGAACTAAGCCTAGTCATGAAAGTTCATTAGGCAGGCACAGATAATCAAAGTCCGGCAAAACATGAGTTCATGGAACACTATTATGCATGCTACATGTTAGACAAGCACTGAAATAAAAAGAACTCATTGTACAAAACAAGAAGAGCACTAACTACAATATAAAATTACAGTGCTTAGAAGAGCATTAATGTGGACATATTTATTTAACATGGCAATTATGTTCAAAGATGACCAATCTTATTAAGCCAGTTGCATTTATATCCTATTCTTCAGTATTAAGATTTACAAGTGTTCACATTAACAGAAACACCAAAACATAAAGAGGAAATATTCTGGAAAAGTGTACTTTGAAGATGTGCAGAAATCAACAATATAGAAAGTGATGACAAATGCAGCAGCAATGAAACTTTAAGTTACTGAAGTCTCATTTATTTATTACTTCAGATGCAATTCACCTGTTCCACTCTTAAGGTTAAGAGAAGGTTCCAACATGGCATTCCCTTGGGTTGATTTAAAATAACTGAAACTGAATGACTAGCAGGAGGTTGGGAAGTACACTTAAAGAGCGAGGGCAACTACCAACAAGAGATTTTTCAGACTAGCCTTGCTTGTTATCTCTCCATAACAGTATTACTATGCAGTAATAGCGTAGTGCGCTATTCTAACACTGTTTTTTCCCAGTTTAATATCAGTACTTCAAATGATCAGTGATGTTATATTATTTGCAGTGACAAATTATAAGGTGAGCATCCACTT